AGTAGAGATTTTAAAGCAGTGCTGGGAAGAGGCAGAGATCACCTTTCCAATAAAGTTTTGACCAAAAAATATTGTTTTGTTTAAAACCTTCTGTCAGTTTGGCTGTGTGTAGGTTATGTGTGTCTCTGTTGTGTAAAGCAACACGGGCAAACTTCCAGAAATCACCCACGACAACAACAAAGAAAAGATCATTGTAATCCTTGCTTGTGTTACCTTAAGAAAAACATATCTGATCTGCTTCAAGGGGTTCAAAATATGATTGAACTTTTTAGTTTGGTTTGTTTGTTTTTGGATCTTAACCCTGCTGATCCATAGTGACACCCTGAAGTTAATCAAAGTCACACGTTGCACTTTAAGCTGTCTTTGAACATTTAAATTTGGCTGGATTCTGCAAGAAGGTGATGTTTTACACTTTGTTAGGGGCTGTATTACTTCCTAACAGAAAATAAAACACTGGGAACTATTATTTAGCAGAGTAGCTGAAATGTAAAATATAATTGTTGCAAGAAATCACTTTTTAAAAAGAAAAATTTCACCACATAAAGAAAGGCAGCAGAATAGTGTTTTAATGAAAGCAGTGGGCTGTGGTCATTTTGGACTTCACGGAGTGAACCGGGACGTTTTGTTCCCTTCAGTTTAGGATTAATTATGGAGGTTTTATGTTAGTGAGATGTATGACCTGTCTGTCCGAAGGTTGGTGTGAGTTATTCTTCATGCTGTAATGGACTCCACTGACTGATGGCTCCTCAGAGGCCTGAGGAAGTCAGGTTGATAATGATAATGATGATGATGATGGTGTGTGTGTGTGTGTGTGTGTGTGTGTGTGTGTGTGTGTGTGTGTGTTTCGGGGGATTGTATTGATTTGACATTATTAAAGTAAACAAGATACACCACCTGGCCAAAAAATGTGGCCACCTGGATTTAAATAAACATATAGGTGTGAACCTCCTATTGGATAACTGCTGCATGGGCGATTATCTTTCAGCTGGTAGCAAGTGTTTTAACCCTAGCTGGTGCGATGAGTTTCTTCTCATTTCTTAAACAACCATGTGGAGAGACACATCTGGTGGTCGTGTAAAAGATGTTAGTCTGAGAAGGGTCAGTTCATTGGCATGCATCAAGCAGAGGAAACATCTAAGGAGATTACAGAAACAACTAAAGTTAGGTTAAGAACTGTTCCGTGCATTATTAAAAACTGGAAGGATAGTGGGGAGAAAGAAATGCGGCCGAAAAAAATAAAATCCAGAGTTTTCGTGATCGACGGTCACTTTGGTCAAATCAAATAAAAGAAAAACAACAATAGGACTCAGGTTATGTTATAGTGAAAATTAGAGGATTTCCACACGTAGAATTCAAAGAGAACTGAAGGGATTGGGACTAAACAGCTGTGTAGCCATTAGAGAGCCACTAATCAGTTGGACAAACCAAAAAAATAAAAATAAAATAAAATAAAAAAGGCTACAATTTGCTGGGATTCTGAATCAATGGAAGAAGGTCATGTGGTCTGATGACTCCAGATAGACCCTGTTCCAGAGTGATGGGTGCATGAAGGTAAGAAGCCTAGGGCCTACTGTACAAGCATGTGGAGGCAGTGCTATGATCTGGGCTTGCTGCAGTCGTTCAGGTCTAGGTTCAGCAACAGGATGTGAAGAAGACAAAGATGATCTTTTATATAGTGCTTCTCAAAATAAAAATCATGAGGCGCTTCACAAAAACAAAAAACAAAAGTATAAAAAGATTTCAAAAGGTTTAAAAGAAGAAAAGAAAAAATGTAAGGAAAGGGAGAGAGAAAATGATTAGGAAAGAGGGAAATCAATGGATCCTGGCAAAGGCGGAATAAGAACAGAATAAGGAAAGGGTGGTGACAAAGTTCACGCAAAAGCCAGCTTGAACAGGTGAGTTTTCAGCTGCTTTTTAAAGGAGACCACTGAGTCCACTGATCTCAGCTGATAGTTCCAGGGAGAGAGTTCCAGAGTCTGGGGGCCACAGCAGCAGATGATCTGTCACCTTTGACCTTTAGCCTGGTGCTGCACAACCAGTAGGCTTTGATCACTGGACCTCAGGGACCCGCTGGGGGTGTAGGGACTGAGAAGATCACCAATGAATGATGGTGCTTGTCCATGTAAGGCCCTAAAGATCAGAACCAGGATCTTGAAATGAACTCTGAAGTCGACTGGCAGCCTTGTGCTCCAAGAATGAGGTCAGCTGAATGACCAGGTTATTCCATCAGTGGATTTGTTCTTCCCTGATGGCACAAGCATATTCCAAGATGACAATGCCAAGATTCCTTGTGCTGAAATAATGAAAGAGTGGTTCAGGGAGCATGAGACATCATTTTCACCCATGGATTGACCACCACAGAATCCAGACGTTAATCCCATTGAGAATCTGTGGGATGTTCTGCATCATCAGTGCAAGATCTTGGTGAAAAATTAATGCAAATTTGCATGGAAATAAGTCTTTTGACATTGCAGAAGTTAATTGGGGAATGTGTGCCACAATCAAAGCTAAAAGTGGTCCAACAACATTTTAGACTGTGTGACGTTTTTGTTTTGGTGGCCACTTTTTTGTTGGCCAGCCAGTGGATGTTTGCAGCCTTACTCTTTACTTTTTAATAAAATACAAGATTCAAGAAGTTCAGGCGGGATTTGATTTTATTCTGGTCTGCAGATACCATGATGACTGACAAAAAAATGCAGTGAAAGTATGATTCCTGTTTAGTTTAAGTTGTATTATTTTCTCAATTGCACATTTACACGCTCTAAAGGAAGTTATCATCTGAGTTATTTGTGAGGGAGTTCCTATATTTGCACAGCGTTAGTGTATTTTATTTTCGTTTTGCTCACAAACCGTGTCAGTGAATGACAGTTGTTATGAGGAAGAATTAAAAGGTCATCTGTTTATTTTGATTTCAAAAGCTTTTTTTTTTGTTGAGCTTCATAGATGGCTACTAAGACATAATTATATGTTCCCAACATGACCATCACACTTTTCTCATCGTGTTTCAGAGTGAGAACCACACGTGAAGATGCCATCTGTTAACTGTCTCTGCCTCCAATTAAAGACTCATTAAATCAGATTTCCATTCTTTTAATGGCTATTTATGGCATTTCTGGACTCATCTTTTTACTCGTTTCCATCACATTTGTTGTTCTCGTGCAAACATGATGTCGCTGCTGGCATCTCTGCTGCAGGCCTAGGTTTTTCTCTATTGATGTGTTCCTCATAAGAGCAGATTTTGTTGAGACTGTAGAAGATTTTAACACATTTAGCATGTGACCAGAAACTTTTCACAACCCAAACAAGTCAATAGTTTTACCAGGACTTCCTGTTAAGAATGTTCTGGAAGTTGTTTTGAAAGTAAATGCTACTTTTAGTGTTTTATCTAAAGTGGTGAGTTAATATTTACACCTGGATTACGTTACTGAATTGTAGATAAACGGCGGCTCCGTTCAGGTCCGTTAATCATCACACTTCTTTACTTCCTTGTAATTTTTAAAATAATAAACGTGCAAACTTTTACAGCCATGTTTGTTGAATATCCACAAAACTGTTGATGTTCTGCAAGAGTTCCAAAGTAATTCATAGGAATATGCATTTGATCTGAAGCAGATATTCAGTAAATATTGACAGGGTTGTTTCTGCCCACATTACAAACAAACTGCTGCACCAGTGTTTATGTAGTCCAACATGGAGAATGCACCAGGATTTTTCTGTCTCTTTCACGGTGCCGCTGAATGCCGACGATTGAAACTGCAGACATTGTACGAGTATCTGATACGCAGATGTGACTTGTGTCAAAGTGAAAAATGTTTTATGCTTTAAAGGGATAATGTGTAGTTTTTACCGTTAATATCTGGAAATATCCATCATTTTGGTGAAAATGAATTAAATGTTGCTTCGTAACATATAACTGAAAATTGGGTTTAAAATACATGGGAGTGGGGCGATGCCATATTAGACGCATTTTTTAAGACATTGACTTATTTGTAACAAACAGTTACAATTTAGCCATTCATAAACGTTGTTGTTTTACACATTTACCTCTTTGCTCAATGTCTGCGTGATTTTGTGACCTCACGGGATCAGCTGTGTGGTACTTTTTGCTCCTGTTTGCGTCAGAATCGTTCCTGGTTGGAAGAGAGCTTGCGGACAAAACACCTCTATTTGGCCACTTTCGCGTCTAGTGGAAAGAAGGCGCAACTCTGAGAGTGAAACAAGGTCTTTATCAGTGCCTCACTTTCTCTAACAGAGTGGTGGATACTGGGAATGGAGCCTATTGAAAACCATCAGTCCAGATCTTTTATGCCGTGCTGCAAGCTCTGGCCTTGAAAGCACGTACTTGTCAGAGAAAGAAACCAGGGTTGTTGTTTCAAACAAAGTCATACGTAGAGCCCATTTGCTCTCAGCTTGGATGAGTAGACACAAGATTTGTATACATCCAGTTGTCCTCGTTCACCCTGTCCCGTCTCTGGTTAGCCAGATTTTGAGAACCAGGAACAGACACCGTCCTCCACATTGGCGCAGCTGCTTACACCGTCTGTATGTTCGTGTACTCAGTGACCCGACACTCAGACCAAGAGAATGACACTGTGTGCTCTGACAGTGTGTAGGCACGAGAACTCAAGTGTGAACGCCTGAATGTGAATTCAGTGTATGCATGTTAGACAAGAGGGCCAGTCCACGGATCTGTTTGTCTTTGTCGGAGACTGCGTTGTGAATGTGTGTGTGTGTGTGTGTGTGTGTGAATACAGCTCCTGTCCTAACAGTATGAGGGCATTTTGAAACATGACAAAGATTACATTTTTTTAAGTTCTTCATCATGTTTTTTTTAAATCTGCAACTCTGTTTGGTGTCTGTACATCAGTCAGTGATAAAACGCTGGATTTTAACCATGTCACACTTTCTCTTTTTTTCCTCTTTGTCTGTCTTTCCCATCTGTCTATGTATTTCTCTTTCTCTGGCGTCTACGTCTTTCTTCTACTGTCTTCACCCTGCAGTTTGCTGTTTTGTGGTCCACAAGCGGTGCCATGAACTTGTCACGTTCTCCTGCCCGGGGGCAGATAAGGGCCCTGACACAGACGTAAGTAGCCATTTAACAGCTGTTCTTTCTCATTGGTTTGCTGCCGAGAAGGTGCATTTCTCCCCATTACACTTAAACATTGGTGAGGGTATCAGTATGCAGTTTTATCCATCAACCTCTTATCTGAACACATGTTGAGTTGCATCGTAATTCTCCCTCACCTGACCCTTTAAGCACTTGCTATACATTGGCACAGTGCTCATTACTTCCTTATCAGTCTGAGTAAGGTGTGGATGGTTTATAAAGGAAAATGAAAGTTATTAAGACAAACCGATCACTTTTTAAAGAGAACTCGTGAACATGTTCTTTTATATAAAGTCATCTGGCCTTGGAGAAATAAGATGTGAAACGTTTCCACATGAGAATTAATCATAAATGAAATAAAACACATTAACAGCAGGTTGATAATTCACTTATTTTATTTGTGCTTAAATTTACGAGTTAAAGACTGAAATAAAGAAAAATTAGTTAGGACCGGGTAAAAAAAATCGATTTAATCGATTATGGATTGATTTCATATGCATTTAGCAAAATCGGTTGATTAGGCCTAAGATTGACTTTTCCCCTTGACCCAGACTGACATGGGACTGGTTCTGCAGGCACTTCCGGGTACAAATTTGTTTCAAAACATGCTTAAAGTATACTAATATACACAAACTGCACATCTACTTAATGGAAAAAAACTCGTCTAAATGATAGAAATGTTGTTTTCTACCTTAGCAACACCAAGTTCCAACAATAAGCCACTAAATGAAAAAAAAAACAAACTTAAAGACACTAAATGCACGTATCAGAGAAACACCTAGTAGTGGCAATAAATAATAAAGACCAGACTGAATTGAATCAAATCAAATTGAATCGAATCGTGATTAATTGATTCAGAGCTTAATGAATCGAAATTGAACCGATTTAGGAAATTGGCCACAATACCCAGCACTAAAATTAGTTATTTCTTTTTTAATTTAGTAACAAATATAACCCAATTGTAATGAGTAGAACTTGCCCATAAATATTAGTTCAGCACTACCGGGTTACCTATTTTATTTATTTAACAAATAGAACAAATGGCCAGAGTTTCCATTTACTGTTGCGTGCTGTATTGGCTTTCCATTTCAAGTATTTATGTAATTACAGTTACAGAGGCACTTAAATTTTAAGAAAAAACATTTCAGCATACCTAAAAAAAATCGTTAGCAACAGTGAATACAAGTTCAGTTCAACTTTTGTTTTTATTATTTTCTAACCCAGGAAATTGGGTAATATTTACTAATAAGTGTCAGTTAGATTTACCCAATTCCTTTGGGTATTCTTAACTTTGAATATAAGGTACTATTTACAAACATATATAGGGTATGAATTAACTAAGCAAATTGTGTGCAAATTTTTACCTCCATTTATTATAGGTTGCCTTTTATAATGTTGTCACTCATGTAAGAACACACTGATGTGAGGCTGAGCTGCCTTTGTCTGGGTCTGTGTCAAAATACCAAAGAGGAACATGGATCCTGCCAACAACACCAAGTGTGGCAAGGTGGAGAAATGAGGGCCCGGGCGGGATTCGATCCCCAGACTCCCGGGTGAGAGTCACGTGTGCTAACCAGTCAGCCAAAGGGACATTCCAACATTGGAAGCTCATAAAGTAGCTCTTAGTAGTGATAAGCTGCAACAACTCTACTTTAAAATGAATATCTAAATAAAACTGGCTGTTCCCCTGTGACATGTTTTTTTTTATTTCAGAAGGCTTATAAACTTTATTTTGCAAAACTAAACTCTGAAACCTATTGACTGATATTGACGCTTTAAGGACCAGCATGACCTGGAGAATGACTTTTGCAGACAAATTTCAAACAGCCTTCATGAGGGAGTTTCCAAAACACAAACATTTTGAGGACTCTGTTTCCTTTGCAGAAGTTGCATCTCAGTTGTGTTTCTAGAGCTTTAAACTTGTTCAAAATTTGCTGTAACTTGGCATGTTTACGCTATCAGAACTTCCAAGTAATTCTACTGGACCGTCACGGTATGCATGTGGCTTCACTAAATATGGGCTGGCTCGACAGGACCGCTTCCCGGGCCATTTCAGAACCAACCAAGTAGCTGAAGTGGGGAATACACGGACATAGCCTGGTAGAGTCGCTGGACGGGACGTGTTGCTAACTCTGATTGGTGATTGGTTGTAACTCAGTTAGAAATGACATCATCAGATGTTGTCAAACAACTGACATTTGTAAAATTGAAAAAGTTGCTGGTGAATGAAAAAAGAAGGAAAAGAAAACGAGCAGTGTATATTCTGCTGAAAAAATGCTTTTCCCAAAGTCCCGATGCTAAAAATGTGGCAAAAATCTTTAGTTTTCACCGCTTTGTGGTTTTCTACAGAGTGCCGTAAAAAAGGTGCTTCTTCTGGTCATCGAATGCTTTTTTTATGTCACACAAATGTTTTCCTTGTCCCCAAATCGATTAAAATACAATATACTTTGACAGATTTAAACTTTTAATGTTATTAATGTCCGTGGACGCCTTTTGGTGCTGACCAGTGTAGAGCGGGTAATTATTAATGTTGCTTTTAAGCTTAATATATTACCTTTACTTATGACCAATAAGATGTGATATTCTATATAAATATAGGATATCAGCCTTATTGGTCTTTGAATGTTTAATCAGAAGATTCTAGGATTCTTTGCTTTTTCAGTGATCAAACACACTTCATGTCAATTCAGACAAAGTCAGGTTTATAAAAAGTAAAAAATTTATTTTCTAAACAAATTAAAAACAAGACCAGTTAAATAAGACGAATGTGATGGATGAATATAAGTGGATGGAATATGATGTATGGTGATTGAATGGTGTGTTTATCAGAACCTTGTATCCAGAAGAAACTGAGTTCTGGGTGTGAAAGGAATTTGGTCTGCAATAAACTATGGTTTTATAAAACGGCATCAGACGTAATTCATGTCATGCCTACGTACCCATTCCTGGAGACTCCGTTTGGATCCGAGATGTCATGGAGTGGGTGACCCCAAATGCACGTGGCTCGTAGGAAAACCTCCATGCAACCAAGTCAGTCCTAGGATGTCTCCCGAGTCACAATAGATAGATGAAATGGTTTGCGTCTAGAACAGCTGTTTCTGGATGGCTGAAGGAACCGTTTAGCGGTGTCAGCTTTGTTCTGAAGGTGCAAGTTTCTGTGTCAGCTGTAGCATGCAGGTTTTGACAGCTTGTCAAGAGATGCGGTGGTTAGAGAGTTTTCCCCCGGTGGCCAGTCCGGAGTTCTGCTCAAAAACTAACTGAATCACTCAGCAAGTGATTCTGTTTTAATATTCCCATGTTATGATTACATGACCAATCAGGACAAAAGAGGTGTTAACAAACAAACCTCAGAACACACGCCTTCTCAGATACAGGAGGCTCTGATTTGTGGATAAGAAAATATCTATTTGCATGGTGTTAACTTTAATAATTAATGTTTTATGAAAATTGTGTATGAGTGTAGATAATGATTCACATGTTAAACCAAACATTACTGATCATAACATCAAAATGTTTCATTGTAATATTAAAATTCATTTAAACTTCAATGAATTAGGCACAGATTTCTCAAACATTAATATTAGTATTCATATAACATTTGTTCATTCGACCATATGTTTATTTAATGATTTTATAACCTATGAGTTGTAAAAGTTCATCTTTCATGAGAGTGTGCAATCCTGCAGTCTTATCAAAAGAAGGCTTTGTTTGGGAACATAGGCTGACATCTTGTTCCCCTGAAATGTCAACAAGGACTGCAGAATCTTCTGGCTTGTTGGAAGATAGAACGTAAAATCCACTTTAGAGAACAGAATTATGTCTGCAGATGACCGGTGGCATGTAGGTCAATAAGTAGGTGAGAATTGAGCCTTTCTGGACATTACACCAGTGACATCACTCACGGCTGAAACAGCCTTGTGTTAACCACCTATGTAAAGAATTCTTGCAATAGTGTTCAACTGAGAATTTGCATATTTTCCCACAATTTTGCCTCACCAATGGCCAAAGTTCAGCGACATACTGGCTGTGGTGGGGGATCAAACAGGGAAAGTTGGAGCACAGACGATTTTATATTACCAAGTTAATTTGAATAAAAGTTTGCCAATTTTTGGCTTGATCTCGTACTTTTCTTCAGAACAATTATATAATTGTAGGAAATTAGAATTTCCTGCTTTGCACTAGCTGTCGTTCACATTTACTGATATGACTTGTAAAGAGAACCACCTGAGCTCTCCTATTTGTTACCTCTTTGGCACGGTAGCGTAAGAAGCCTGGCTTCTGTAACTGGAGATATCTTGGTGTCATTTAAGATCATCAACTCAGACTCTTTAAATAGAAGACTCTGCAGATGACACGGAAGCTGCAAAAGGATGGAATACTCTGAGCAAGGGGCCCATTTAGGCTCAGCTTTTTAATAAACACACAAGTGGTTCTAAGCGTTGAATACTAGAGGACATCTGTCTCTCGGATTGGCTTACGCTTTGGATCTGGGCCTGAAGAAAAGTTGATTAAAACCTTTGTGCGACTTGAATTTGTTCAACATCAGATCAAGTAAATCGGAGAAACTGCCATTAAAAATGGAGAAAATTACTCATTTGCTCACTCTGCTTTGCAAAACAATAAACTGTAACCTTTTTTTAATTAAGTAGTACTATTACATCTGTGAGTTTATTACTAGTATTTTATAGTGTCTTTTTTTTCTGACATTTAATGAGTGCAAAAATGAATAAATAGCTTAAATATACTTTTTTATTTGATAACATTCTTAACAGGTTAGACAAATTCCAGGATAATAAATTTAAAACTTGATCTTCTGACTGTAAACTTGTAAATCTGAGTAATAATACATCCACACACCAGCACCTAAACTAAAAGAATCAATAATCTAACAAAAGAAAAAATTCACATAAAACGTCAGAATATAAATAATTTAAGTATTTTCTTTATTCAGACATTATTCATTTTTTTAATAATCT